GTTGATGTAGGATGACACCGTGACCGTAGAAGGAGAATTCCTTGACAGTATGGGGTGCTAGCAGTTTAATTTCATAATATCTTCACAAACTTAACTTCAACTGCTTAACATGTGAATTGTTTACCATTATATCAAAAGCAGGAAATTCCAAGTACCGGTAAGACATATTCAAATGAGAAAGGCCGGGTCAACGATGAAGATTGTGCAGATTCCAAATGTTGTGGCACAAGTTAGCGCAGTCCTTTGAACATGAATGAGCAGTGTTGTGTTTTCACTATGACTGCTGTTGCTGTATTGGGCATGTTCTCTACGTGGGGGAGCAGTGTTTTCTTGTAATTATAAGATTATTTGACAGGAAGCCATCATACACCATATGCCTGCATTAATTTAATGATTTAAAGTAGCCATAACATATAGCAATACCCTCCAAAATGTTTGAAATTCAAATTGGCAATTTGGATACCTTTAACATTAACAAAACTGATCTGATGCTCATGCTGTCAACCACTAGTCTGGATGGCCAGGGTTTTAGTGTCCAGACTTGCATGACAAGTGCAGGGCTAAACAACACTTACCATCAATTTCACATGACATTTTCTGTACAAGATGTCTTATTCCGTATGTACCCCTCAACAGTGATATTTATTTGTAACAAACTTCTAGTCGGTTTCATAAAGGAGTTTCAAAATATGACTTCTAAATTTATATTTTATGTTTTCATGTGATAATGTAATAATACAACTAGGGGTGATTATTGGTGCTGTTTTTAATATTGCAATAGTAGCATACACTATTAATCCATACTAAACCAAATTTAAGGCTTGATGATAATAGTAATCAATGTAATAGAAATATACGAAGTATTTTTTGACAACGTCAAAGTCGGCCATTTTTGTCTCTGTTGCAGCTCAAAACAAAGGGAAGTAACTCTAATGTGAAGTCTTCGTAATCCTTGCTAAAGTTTTTAAATTCCTAATGCTATAGTACCATTGTAGGGCAAATAATTTCAATACTTTAATATTTCATTATATCGTTTCAATAAAAAAAAATAGTCAATATTTCACAGTTTGAAGATACCTTGTCACTATGTCCCCTGTGAATAGATACATCTGCTTCGCAGTGTAGTCGCTAGTCTCATCCAACCAATCACTGCATAGCCTGGTTAAGGTGAGAGGAAAGCCACGGTGATCGTACCAATGAACGTTATTTTGGCATCATCAACGTTTCTCGTTCACCATGCCGTTGCCATGTCTTGTTGCCATCTATTCAACAAATTGCTTTAATATCAGGCAACGGTAGGTTTCGAAATTTCATTTCATCATTTAGATTCCATGAGTAATATATGACCTCATTTCATTACTTGATGAGAAATATACACTTGTCACTATATGCTACACCGCATATTAACTGTCATGGGTGATGGAGAAACATTGTGTATACAAACCCAGGAAGTTTTGACAACGTGTTGTGGTTAATGAATCTTGATGCAGAAACGTGTCAATGTAAAATTCATGATTATATCGAAACAAAGAGTGCCATGCAACTCTGATAGCACAGCTCTAGCATATGTGGCTGTAGGTCGAGGCTATTAAATGCAATCAGGCAGTGTTCATGACAGTGAACATAATTGCATTGTCTTGACATCTGTGAACCATTCCAATACTGGATTGAAGGTTTTAGTGACTTTGCACAGCCAGGTTTTGGTTGGCAGTGGATGCAGGCAGGTTTGGTTCCAAGATGCAGAAATGACAATTCCTGGTTCCAGGAGGCAGAAATGACAATTCCAGGTTTCAAGATGCAGAAATAAGAATTCCTGATTCCTAGACGCCGAAATGACAATTCCTGGTTCCAAGATGCAGAAATAACAGTTCCTGGTTCCTAGACGCAGAAATGACAATTCCTGCTTCCAAGACGCAGAAATGACAATTCCAGGTTTCAAGATGCAGCAATAACAATTCCTGATTCCTAGACGCAGAAATAACAGTTCCTGGTTCCAAGATGCAGAAATGACAATTCCTGGTTCCAAGACGCAGAAATGACAATTCCTGGTTCCAAGACGCAGAAATGACAATTCCAGGTTTCAAGATGCAGAAATAACAATTCCTGATTCCTAGACGCAGAAATGACAATTCCTGGTTCCAAGATGCAGAGATAACAGTTCCTGGTTCCTAGACGCAGAAATAACAGTTCCTGGTTCCAAGATGCAGAAATGACAATTCCTTGTTCCAAGACGCAGAAATGACAATTCCTGGTTCCAAGACGCAGAAATGACAATTCCAGGTTTCAAGATGCAGAAATAAGAATTCCTGATTCCTAGACGCAGAAATGACAATTCCTGGTTCCAAGATGCAGAGATAACAGTTCCTGGTTCCAAGATGCAGAAATGACAATTCCTGTTTCCAAGACGCAGAAATGACAATTCCTGATTCCTAGACACAGAAATGACAATTCCTGGTTCCAAGATGCAGAAATAACAGTTCCTGGTTCCTAGACGCAGAAATGACAATTCCTGCTTCCAAGACGCAGAAATGACAATTCCAGGTTTCAAGATGCAGCAATAACAATTCCTGGTTCCTAGACGCAGAAATAACAGTTCCTGGTTCCAAGATGCAGAAATGACAATTCCTGGTTCCAAGACGCAGAAATGACAATTCCTGGTTCCAAGACGCAGAAATGACAATTCCTGCTTCCAAGACGCAGAAATGACAATTCCAGGTTTCAAGATGTTGAAATAACAGTTCCTGGTTCCTAGACGCAGAAATGAAAATTCCTGCTTCCAAGACGCAGAAATGACAATTCCAGGTTTCAAGATGCAGAAATAACAATTCCTGATTCCTAGACGCAGAAATAACAATTCCTGGTTCCAAGATGCAGAGATAACAGTTCCTGGTTCCAAGATGCAGAAATGACAATTCCTGCTTCCAAGACGCAGAAATGACAATTCCTGGTTCCAAGACGCAGAAATGACAAGTCCAGGTTTCAAGATGCAGAAATAACAATTCCTGATTCCTAGACACAGAAATGACAATTCCTGGTTCCAAGATGCAGAAATAACAGTTCCTGGTTCCTAGACGCAGAAATGACAATTCCTACTTCCAAGACGCAGAAATGACAATTCCAGGTTTCAAGATGCAGCAATAACAATTCCTGATTTCTAGACACAGAAATGACAATTCCTGGTTCCAAGATGCAGAAATAACAGTTCCTGGTTCCTAGACGCAGAAATGACAATTCCTGCTTCCAAGATGCAGAAATGACAATTCCTGCTTCCAAGACGCAGAAATGACAATTCCTGGTTCCAAGACGCAGAAATGACAATTCCAGGTTTCAAGATGCAGAAATAACAATTCCTGATTCCTAGACGCAGAAATGACAATTCCTTGTTCCAAGATGCAGAGATAACAGTTCCTGGTTCCAAGATGCAGAAATGACAATTCCTGGTTCCAAGACGCAGAAATGACAATTCCTGGTTCCAAGACGCAGAAATGACAATTCCAGGTTTCAAGATGCAGAAATAAGAATTCCTGATTCCTAGACGCAGAAATAACAATTCCTGGTTCCAAGATGCAGAAATAACAGTTCCTGGTTCCTAGACGCAGAAATGACAATTCCTGCTTCCAAGACGCAGAAATGACAATTCCAGTTTTCAAGATGCAGAAATAACAATTCCTGATTCCTAGACGCAGAAATAACAGTTCCTGGTTCCAAGACGCAGAAATGACAATTCCTGCTTCCAAGACGCAGAAATAACACTGCCCGGCACTCAGCATTAAGGGGATAACGCAAGGACTGGTCCGCTCGGAGTCAGTATACATTGTCTGAGTAGGGTATACATGTTAAACTGCAGCATGGTAGTTTGGACAATAAGAAGCACACACGCGCATGCATGCACTATGAAAGTGCAATTTATCTTGAACGTGGCATCAATCTCGAACTTAACGTCAAACACCATTTCACCTTTTTGAAGCTTGTTTATAGCTGCTATAAGAAAATAATCGTTCTTTATGTAGATGTAGTTTTAACATATTTTATTCAACTTTACTTGAAAGGGTTCAGTGAACAGACCAAACTGGCTTATTTAAATACTGCTCCCTGTTACATGATAACATTTGTGTAGACATCCAAACTTTAGGGAAGAGAAACAGTACAAAATGTATTGGAAGACCACTCATGTTACCAACACTACAGTCACATAAGCTTATTACATATTCATACTCAATGTGCAAACTTACTTATGGAGATATGGTACGGGGAAAGAACATTTTCACATCTATATAATATATTTAATGAATATGCTGAATGTACTCTTCCAATGGTTTAATTGAGCATCCAAGGCCCACTTGCACAAAGCGATCTTAGCGCTAAGATGATCTTAACTCCCATACTTTATCATAGGCTTACAATAGTCTTAGCGCTAAGATCGTTTTGTGCAAGTGGGCCCAGGACTCTTTTCTGCATGTTCACTTCCCCAACTTGGACCCAGGAGTTGTCTAGGCCCCTGCACTTCCTTTTGCAAGAGCCGGCACATTTGTGTTAGCAACAGAATATATTCACTGCTTCCTGACACAAATGTTTTCTTTGATTTTCTATTTCTCAGGATGATCATGATCATGTCCAGGGAATATAAATATTTGTTTTTAAATTTGAGGCAAAAATGTATTTTCTGGAACAAATTCTGTTTATAATAAAGAAACTCCCAGTGCACCCAGAATATCAGTGGGCTGTCTCTTACCACCAAGGGGCGGTCGGGTAGCCTATTGGTTAAAGTGTTTGCTTGTCACGCTGAAGACCCGGGTTCGATTCCGACATGGGTACAATGTGTGAAGCCCATTTCTGGTTTCCCCGCCGTGATATTGCTGGAATACATGTATTGCGAAAAGCGGCGTAAAACCTCACTCACTCACTCACTCTTGTCAGCAAGCTGTATAAAATATTTCGAGAAATAATGCTTCTTCTACTAATATAGTACCATATCTGTGATATAAAATGTTTTATTTCAGACTCTGCCGAAATGGCCAGTACCGCTTCAGCCAAGGTCAATAATAACTCAAAGACCGTCATCACGGACGCCCAGAGCATGACGCCCCAGGAGGAGAAACGGATGAATCGTGTCTACACACGTGTGTTTCTCATGCTACTCCTGGACCTCATCGCCTTCACTGTCATCCTACCACTGCTCCCTGGGCTGCTTCAACACTATGGAGAAAATGATTCAGTAAGTTATCTCCCCTTATGGTGCGTTGATTTGACTGAGGTTGACTGCAACGTTAGCGAGAAAAAAGTAGAGAAAGTTATCTCCCTTTATTGTGCATTGATTTGACAGTGGTACGGGCTTGTGTGATCAAACATGTAACTTGGGAAGCCATTTTCTCCAACAGTGACCATATATGGAGCCTCTAAGTTTGTTTCAGCCTTTGAAATTGCTAGACAGGACTAATTTGCAAATTATTCTTATTTATGTGCTGGTTTCGATGTTTTGAATTCGATATTTGCTTTAACAATGTTTTGATCTGTGCTGTTCTACATAGTTGTACCTAACCATGATCCCAACTTTAGGCTGCATCATTGTATCTCGGGCTTGTACTATAAAACTGGCATTAGTCCGGACTAGTACTAGCAGACGCAGACACGTGATGCACGTCACAATGTAAGTGCAATAATCTTGAGCTTGATGTTAAACCCGCCCGTAGAGAGGATGGTCCGGGGTTCAATCCCCGGCCGCGTCATACCAAAAGACATTAAAAGATGGTACTTGTCGTTACCCTGTCTGGCACTCGGCATTAAGAGGTCAAAACAAGGACTGGTCGGCTCGGAGTCAGTATACTGTGTCTGAGTGGGGTATTCATGTTAAACTGTGGCATGGTATCTCAGTGTCCTAGCACTATAAATCGGCATCAGTCCGGACTAGTACAAGCAGCCACACACACACACATGTGCATGCACGTCGCTATATAAGTGCAATAATCTTGGATGCGACGTTAAACCCCATTTCACCATCACCACCAACTACTGACAAGCAGGAATGTTGTTCTTAAACATTTCAGTCTTTGGGTTAAGATTACTCAGTATTTCTGGTGACTTTTTTCAACTACCGGTGGTAGAGCGTCTGCCCGGGGAGTGGAAGATCAGGGATTCAATCCCCAGCCATGTCATGCCAAAAGAAGTTAAAAGATGGTAATTGTTGTTACCCTGCCTGATACTCTGCATTAAGGGGCCTGGTTGGTCAGTATACTGTGTCTGAGGGGGTAATCCTGTTAAGCTGCGGCATGGTATCTCAGTAGGCTAGCACTTTAGAATCGGCATTAGTCTGGACTAGTACAAATAGACAGACAGAGACACTTATTGTGTAAGTGCAATAATCTTGGACATGTCTTTAAACCCTATTTCACCTCACCTCAAGTACTGGCCCAGCACTTTTATCCAGTACTGACTAGATAATGCGAGAATTGGGGAGTAAAAACCACTCCCCAACTGTTCTTACGCTTACCACGAGTATCTAGGGCAAACAAAGAAAGAGTGCATCGTCTGTTAGGATTCCCTCATCATTTGCCCCATACACTGTGTTTCTTCAGCTTCTCATGTTACAGAACGTTGCATAACATCCCTCTTCATTAGTGACTCTCATATTTCCAGAGTGGCTTGTACTACCTGTTGAGGAAAACGTCATCAGGTTTCCGGTCTTTCTGTGGAATCAAGGACGAAAATGCTGACGCTGTCTTTCTTGGAGGTCAGTGGCTTTCATATTTTGTATCCTGTCTGCAAAGTAGAGATAACCCCACAGCAATGTAATTTATTTGTTTTTTCTTATCTCAGGGCTAAGTAATATTAGATCTTTTACTCCCATACAATATCTCTGTGCATGAAGATCTGAGGACACCCCTAAAGGTCGCATCAGGTGAACTTTCTAATCAGCCAATCAGCACGAGGCTTCTAAATTCTTTATACAAGAGATCAAATCATTCAGACATGCATGTCTGATTTCAGTTTCTTGAAAACGAATATGATTGGGAAGTTCTGAATGCAACAAACTAAAGCCTTGCTATGACTTTGTTGTGGATATTTTATGCATCCTGTCAGTTATCGAGGTTATACATGTATCTGTATTCAGGGCTCCAGATAAAGGCCATATTGGCGTATGTATGACAATATGCATGATACGGAGCAGGATAATTTATCAGATACACATTACAGCATTCATGTACAGTCTGGCATTCAACTATAGATGTATTTCTCAAACATTATACTCTGATTTCAAGCAGCGTATTTTCTTGAGAATAGTGCAAACCTTTTTAAGAAATCGCAGCTGTGTAGAGGGTATATATACACGCCATAATGAGTTTTGATGTTTTTTTCCTCCAAGGCAAAGACATTACAGTGAGCACGTAACACTGGAAATACAATGTCAACAAATGCATACTGAAGTACGCAAATTTATCAAGTAATAACACTGACATAATAAGTCTTTCATTGTATATTTGGACTAAAGTTTGTAACCTATTTTATTAAGTTTAATCAATATTTCATTCAATATTGTTTACGTTATTTTTGGGAAAATCGTGTGTGAAGTGTTCGGTACATCATGCAGCTCACCATGATTTAGAGCAATCATGTTCAAATTACTGTTATTGACGTCTTGAAACAAACTTTAGTTGACAGAGAAAGGATGCAAATATCACAAATGCCATACTTTGACTTGTTTAAAGTCATATTTGCAGTAGTTTGACTTCTATGAAAGTTCAACACAGAGTTTTTGCGAGCACGAGCGCCGGAGCCTCAATGGTGACTGAGAGACTAACATCTAGTCTCTGAAATGAACATATCGTACAGAATAAAAAAACAGTTGTTAAATTATCTTTAAAAAATATAATAAAAAGGAGCCCAGAGACTCATTTCCTGATACTGGATTGTCTGGTATCAGGTATAATTACTTACAGATTGCCGTCATATAGCTGGAATATTGCTGAGTGTGGCATTAAACAAACCAACCAACAATACGTAAAAAAAATATCCAGCAATAGCAAACGGCTGTACCAGCTGTTCGCCTATGGTTTATTGTTATTTTAAATATATATCGTAAAGCTGCAACTAAAATAGTGCAATATTGGAATATATTATTCCTGATACAATGATAGTTTCAGGTTCAATTCTTCTGAATAAAATTCTTTAAAGTTATATCATTGAGTACTTTTTAACCAAATCACTGGTAGAATGGGAACAGATGTGTTGTCAGCTGATTGCTGGTTCCAGCTTAGTTTACAAGAAAATATACCCGGTAATCTCTGCTTCAAAAACAATGCCTAGTAGAACTGGAAATACTATTTAAACGGTAAATCATCATGTCTAGTGATATTTTATCTCAAATTTCAAATTTGCATTGAGCAAGTTTGTTATCACCTGTTCGCTAACCTGACTTTGCTGAAGGGATACGATGTAAAATATTTCTATCCATAATGTGCGACTTTAGTTGCTCCAAAATACTGAATACCTTAGAGGGGAGTGCACATTATACAATAGACATGCGTGTACCCAGTGTCTGAAACTCAGCAGAGTAAAGTGAGAGCCAGCATATTCCAAAAACTGGAGGCCTCGTGGAAAAACTGGAGGCCCAAACATTTTAACTGAAGCAAGGAGACATACTCTTACTATATAAATTACAAAACACAACCAGTCAACGAGAAGCTTTAAGTGCTGTTACTGCTGTCACTGCTTGGTTCCCAGAGACTCGGGGGTGATAGATGAAGCACACATTTATCAAGAAAATTATCAGCTTGTAAAACGTGTTTGCTACTACATGTCATAAATCATTTGGAAGGTCTCATCATACTGTTCTTAAATATTCAAGTTATGTTTATCACATTATTTAAACAATGCATTTATAACTTAATTAAGTTTGTTTTTAATTAAGAAAAATCCATTTTCATTACATCCAAAATGAAATATACTCAGCAACAAAAGTTTCTTTGACACAATATGGAACAAAAACCTGATAAAAGTAGACGCTCACATCTGAACGAATTCATATTTTCAAACAGACAATGGACCAGTCAAACAAGTTTACTGATTTAATGACACATATCTAGCACAGAAATGACGTTATGACAAGAGAAAGATGCAAGAACAGAATTGTCAATTCACACGATAGTAGCGTGTGTGTCCCTCTTGCTTGGATGCATGCAATGCATCTCCTTCGCATTGAACGGGTCAAACATCTAAGACAGCAGTGTGGATGGCATCCTATATCTCCACCAGCCTGTCTCTCAGTTCCTGTGCTGTAGTCGGAGCAGGTGGTAAACGTCGAGACGGCGGTACATTTCATCCCACATGTTCTGGAGAGCCATCTGTCCATGGAGTCACATTGTCTGAACAATCCGGGCTGCATGGGGTCGGGCGTTGTCATGCTGAAAAATCATGCCAAGGCCTTGTTGATTCAAAAAATGGCTAAACGATAGGCTGGATGACCTTGTCACGGTAACACTGCTGGTTTAAATTGCCATTGATCACTTGCAAACAAGTTCTCTGTCTCTCCGTGATTCCTCCCTGCACCACAACACTGCCTCCTTCAAAACGGCCTTCCCCTACAACACAGTTCTGAGCGTAACGTTCGTCGCGATGTCGGTATACTCATATTCGGCAAACCATGGGAGAGGTGAAAACAAGACTCGTTTGTGAACAGAACATGTCTCCACTTAGTTGCTGTCCAACACACTTGCTGTCTCCACCACTGCAGATGCAATCGGCGGTGATTGTTGGTCAGAATTGGGCATCTGGCTGGTCTGTTTGTACAGTCAGGGATTGTTCTCACAGTGATTGTTGCAGGCAGGAACTGAGTTTGCAGATGGGTGGTTCAAATTCAACGATCTTCACCGACGCTCGTAACGGATGGCCTGCCGCTCCTTGGCCTCTGATAGTGTTTGTTTGCTGCCATCGCTGACATAACATCCAAATGGTGTTTCTGTGCACATTCAATCGCCTGACAACTTCATGCTGTTCCTGACTGAAGCATACCACTGGCTCACAAGCTGTCATTTTCAGATAGGCGAGGCATCTCCAAACCTCAAATAAATGACTGAAATTCCCTGGTTTACATCCTTACTTGCACGATTGCCATCAGATCATGCTTTTCTGCTGAGGTTGCGTTTGTGCTATGTTATCATATCTTTGTATCCGATTTCAACATCAGAAAGTTTTTTCTTGTTTGCAACCAATTTGAAAGGCGTGTCACAGGAACATTCGTAGCTTAATACACAAAATTAATCCCTTAAATTCCATTTAGTACTCTAAGTGTACTCTTTCGTTTTGCCAGTATATTAAAACAATAAGGAGTACATACTTCTGGTGCTGACAAGTTACCTGGAGCCCAGCTGTATTCAGTGGCAGCTTACTTTACTAAGGCCGCACTTTTTTTACTTGTTTAATGGATCTGCTGACTAAATTTTATTGAAATGAAAAAAAAAAAATTCTTCAGAATTTGCTCTCTTTTTTTATCACGCCAAAAGTCTGATAGCATACTGCTGCAAAACCAATTAAAAATAAAGACCCACTGAAGATGACTTCTATTAAACAAGAAAACATGTGTACAGCTTATTGCTGTTTCCAGCTTAGTTTACGAGAAAATACACATTGTAATCTTAATCCCTGCCTTGCAGTACAAAAAATACAATTCAAACGGTAAATCAACATGTCTGGTGATTCTTTATCTCAAGTTTCAAATTTGTACTGACCAAGTTTCTTATCACCCATTCGTTTACCAGATTTCCCTGAAGGGGTACTGTGTAAATTTTTTGTGTGCATAATATTTGGAGAAAAAAATTATCCAAAATAATGAATCTGCTAGAGGGAGGTGCGCACTACACTCAAGAAAATATGGTAATAGGATCCATAGATGCATAACAGCATTTACCGGTACACAAATTCGTCAGGTTAACATTGCTTAAAGCAACAGCTGTGACTCAGGCACTGCTCCCACATTAAACTATTTATACTTTTTATGCCATTTGACCTGTCGTGGAGGAAAAAACTATTTTCCTGTAGAAAATCTGTAAAGCAAGTAAAATAAGAGTGTGGCCTCAGAACCTAAGATAAAAAATTCTGATTTGAGGTGGTAAATAAATTAAGCTGAAATGTTTTAACAAGCTGACATCTGATTTGTCTAGACTGTCATAGCTCACTCTGGGTTTTCCTGACACGACCTTTCATTTAGAAGTTGGGTGTAACTTTGACTAGGAGTATTATGGCTGACAACTTCTGTATTCTACACTCAGGAATGACAGGGTGGGAGACCATGACATATATGCTTTCATATGAAGCCACGTGTAATGAGATACATGGAAGGGAAGCCAGTTGTTACAAAGTTAAAGTTGGTGTACAATTTATAGGGAGTTGATGGACATAACAGTTGTAGGCAGGCAGAATTAAGCTTTAATCGGGTCAACGGCCCTAACAGTACAAAAATAACAATGTAACATGACATGAGCAGAGCATGGGAGAAGCATCACCTGGTGGCAAGGGAGTTGACGGACTGTGAGAGTCCAGTTTCCACCCTTTCCGAACTAGGCTGGAATTTCTGGGCACAGCAGGGGGCGAAACTAACAGTTTTCGTCCACTAGTCCTTATAATAACATATAGCAAAACCCCTAAAAATGGCAAATTTCTACTAGTCCTTATGATACCTTTACCATTAGGCAGTTTGGCAAGGACTATAGGACGAGTGCCAATTTCTAAGGCTGCTCAGTCGTAGCGCCACCAGTGGCTATTACGGTTTACCGTATTCGATGTAATAAGCGTCCTGCTCTAATAAGCGCCCACGGCGATATTTGCTAATATATTGGCTAGTGAACAATCCCATTTAGTACCCCTTCCGATTGGACAATGACAACAAGACTTATTTATTCGCATATAATACGCACTCGTTTGTTATATGCACCCTTAATTATGGGCAATTGAATTCTGGAAAAATATATTTGTCGTACATAAACATTTCAGGCTGTCATCATAAACCACGAAATTTATCTTTCAACTCTGTTTTTTTTAACCAAATTGATATTCTAATAAGAGCCCCCTATTTCTAATTTTGAGAGCGCCCTGGGCGCTTATTACGTCGAATACGGAATGTCCTTCTGTGTCCCCACTACTGACCAATATGATTCCACCTCTCATATCACTATTGCATTTGCTGAACAAAATCGCAGCACCCAGTCAAGATGATCTCATTAATGATAAAGATCTGTATTGTAATATAATGGGTTTTAACTCACAAAGTGCATCAAATCACTTGAACGTACTGATTAAAAACATGAAAAGATTTTGAAAATATCTGTCGATGTCCAGTTGATGGTACACATGCTCTGCAAATACTGCAATCGAATGAATTCAGCACGGCAGTTTCGATGTTGTTTATGAACCACCTTGCGATTTCGTTACGGGATTTTGATTGGACTATGCATGGACTCGTTATTCTTGCCAAAATAAAACTCCTTAATACCCGCCAAGTTTGGCAAGGATGGAAACTGGACTTTAATAGTCAGTTAACTCCCTTGCCTCGGGAAGATGAGGAGAGTGGATACAAGGCAATGCCATCTACAAGTGATTTTAACAGTGTTCATACAATAGATTAAATGAGTTTTTGGTGGGGTTGACTGAAAAGTCTGTTAAAACTAAATGTCCCATGCACTGGGTAGGAATACTCCGTGATCCAATTGGCTTGGATTGGCTTGTTTGATATGGATAGCTTCTTGGAACTGCGCTTCCTCCAGATGTGAATGTTTGTGCAGAGGAACTCAGTGTGATGCCAGGAGATGTAGTGGCGGGAGTGTTGATGACATGTTCTGGTAGGAATGATTTGGGGTCTACTTTCTGGATGGAGGGTTTGTGTTCTTAAAGCGTATGTCAACATGTCCACCCATTCCGTTTCAACTCTCTCCATAACCATGGTAACAAGTTGTTTCGTTTTTTCAGGGATGGTGAGCTCCCTATTCTCGTTCCTGCAGTTTTTGTCCTCACCGATTATCGGTGCTGCATCCGATGTGTACGGCCGGCGCAGGATGATGATGCTATGCATGGTATGTAATCTGAATGTAAAGGTCAGATTCACATTTTGGCATGCATGTTTTCGAGAACACCAGATTATATTTCTGGAACACAATGAGTGAATGAGTGAGTACGATTTTACGCCACTTTTAGCAATATTCTAGCAATATCACGGCGGGGACACCAGAAATGGGCTTCATACATTGTACCCATGTCGGGAATTGAACCCGGGTCTTCGAGGTGACGAGTGAACACTTAAACCACTAGGCTACCCGACCACACCTGGAACACAATGAACCCATTGAAATTGACCAGATGAAGGCATAATAGGTACACAGTAATGTCCCTATGTAAATTGATATGGCAATTACAATTCTTGTTTTGTTAAATGGATGCTTCTACCTAAAATTTATAAAAAGGAAAATTACGATTGTGTTTGATCAAAAATATGCTTCAAACATGTTTTTGTTATTACTTCCATGTCAAATATTTTCTTAAAAAAACCTACCCCCTATTCACGGCCTTAAATTATTGTAAAACTGCTGAGGGTGCGACTGAGTAAAATATATTTTTCCCATTATACAGGCTGGTGTGGCGTTGTCATACGTCCTGTGGATGCTGTCGCACAATTTTGCATTGTTTGTCCTTGCTCGCTTTGTCGGCGGCATCAGCAAGGGCAACATCGGCCTCTGCACTGCCATCATCGCTGATGTCTCTAACAAGGAGAAAAGAGGGAAAGGCATGGTAAGTCATTAACCACAGTTTCAAATAAGTGAACCTTTGAGAGTAGATTTTTGCCACGTAGCCATTAGAGGTGTAACAATACGGTGGAATCGTGATACGATACGTATCCTGATACCATCAGTGCGACATGATTCATATCCTGACACGGTAATGTGGTTAAAGTGATATAATACACAGCTATAACACGCTGTAGTTTAGTGTAAATGTGGTTAATGTGATATAGTATACAGCTATAACACACTGTAGTTTAGGGTTAATGTGGTTAATGTGATATAATACACAGCCATAACCCACTGTAGTTTAGTGTAAATGTGGTTAATGTGATATAATACACAGCTATTACATACTGTAGTTTAGTGTAAATGTGGTTAATGTGATATAATACACAGCTATAACACACTGTAGTTTAGGGTTAATGTGATATAATACACAGCTATTACATACTGTAGTTTAGTGTAAATGTGGTTAATGTGATATAATACACAGCTATAACACACTGTAGTTTAGGGTTAATGTGGTTAATGTGATATAATACACAGCTATAACACACTGTAGTTTAGGGTTAATGTTGTTAATGTGATATAATACACAGCTATAACACACTGTAGTTTAGTGTAAATGTGGTTAATGTGATATAGTATACAGCTATAACACACTGTAGTTTAGGGTTAATGTGGTTAATGTGATATAATACACAGCCATAACCCACTGTAGTTAAGTGTAAATGTGGTAAAAGTGTTATAATACACAGCTATAACACACTGTAGTTTAGGGTTAATGTGGTTAAAGTTATATAATACAAAGCCATAACACACTGTAGTTCAGTGTAAATGTGGTTAATGTGATATAATACACAGCTATAACGCACTGTAGTTCAGTGTAAATGTGGTTGAAGTGATATAATACACAGCTATAACACACTGTAGTTTAGGGTTAATGTGGTTCATGTGATATAATACACAGCTATAACACACTGTAGTTTAGGGTTAATGTGGTTAATGTGATATAATACACAGCCACAACACACTGTAGTTTAGGGTTAATGTGGTTCATGTGATATAATACACAGCTATAACACACTGTAGTTCAGTGTAAATGTGGTTCATGTGATATAATACACAGCTATAACACACTGTAGTTTAGGGTTAATGTGGTTAATGTGATATAATACACAGCTATAACACGCTGTAGTTCAGTGTAAATATGGTTCATGTGATATAATACACAGCTATTACATACTGTAGTTTAGTGTAAATGTGGTTAATGTGATATAAAACACAGCTATAACACGCTGTAGTTCAGTGTAAATGTGGTTCATGTGATATAATACACAGCTATTACATACTGTAGTTTAGTGTAAATGTGGTTAATGTGATATAATACACAGCTATTACATACTGTAGTTTAGGGTTAATGTGGTTCATGTGATATAATACACAGCTATAACACACTGTAGTTTAGGGTTAATGTGGTTCATGTGATATAATACACAGCTATAACACACTGTAGTTTAGGGTTAATGTGGTTAATGTGATATAATACAAAGCCATAACACACTGTAGTTCAGTGTAAATGTGGTTAATGTGATATAATACACAGCTATAACTCACTGTAGTTTAGGGTTAATGTGGTTAATGTGATATAATACACAGCTATAACACACTGTAGTTTAGGGTTAATGTGGTTAAAGTGATATAATACAAAGCCATAACACACTGTAGTTCAGTGTAAATGTGGTTAATGTGATATAATACACAGCTATAACTCACTGTAGTTTAGGGTTAATGTGGTTAATGTGATATAATACACAGCTTTAACACCCTGTAGTTCAGTGTAAATGTGGTTCATGTGATATAATACACAGCTATTACATACTGTAGTTTAGTGTAAATGTGGTTAATGTGATATAATACACAGCTATTACATACTGTAGTTTAGGGTTAATGTGGTTCATGTGATATAATACACAGCTATAACACACTGTAGTTTAGGGTTAATGTGGTTAATGTGATATAATACACAGCCACAACACACTGTAGTTTAGGGTTAATGTGGTTAATGTGATATAATACACAGCTATAACACACTGTAGTTCAGTGTAAATGTGGTTAAAGTGATATAATACACAGCTATAACACACTGTAGTTTAGGTTTAATGTGGTTCATGTGATATAATACACAGCTATAACACACTGTAGTTTAGTGTAAATGTGGTTAAAGTGATATAATACACAGCTATAACACGCTGTAGTTTAGGGTTCATGTGGTTAATGTGATATAATACACAGCCATAACACACTGTAGTTTAGTGTAAATGTGGTTAAAGTGATATAATGCACAGCTATAACTCACTGTAGTGCATTGTAAGTGTGGCCATTGTCATAATTGTGGTGTGTTATAATAGGAAACAGATGTGTCTTGAAACAGCTGTGCTTATCAATACTAGCTCCACATATTCAATACTGTGTACAATTGACGCTACTGACTGAAAATCTGATCAGATAGTTTTTATGTGAATATGATTAAGTAGAAATGATTTTGTCAATACTGTGTTGTATTTCTGAATGTATTGTAATTTGGATGACCTAACTGTATCTGGGTTTTACAATGATGTAGCTCACCTGAGAAATAAGAAAACATGCAACTTGATGGATAATAACTTCTGGTTTATTGCATGTAGCGACGTTTCGATATAGATTCTTTCACCGTTATCAAGCTTGAGTATCTAGAATGCCGATCAAACAGTTACTGTATATCACTGTGTATAAGGCGAGTTTTTCTTACCACGAATTAGGGGGCTTTCCAGGGGGGGCGTCTTATTCACAGGGTTGAAGAGTTTTGATGTTTTTCCCCCCAAAACAGACAACCGTGAGCACGTAACACCGGAAATACCATGTCAACAAATCTGTAATGAAGTACCTAAACTAATCATGTAATTACACTGTCCGGTTATAAAAACAGTTCATTATATATCAGGACTTACCTAATTTGTAATCTATTTTATTGATTTTATTCAATATTGTTTATTTTCATTTTGGCAAAATTGTATGTGAAGTGATCGGAAGATCCCACAACTCGCATTTATCATAAATGCCATACTTTGACTCGCTGAAAGTCATATTTGTTGTATTATTTGTCAACTTTGTAAAGTTTTCACTATCATGAGCGGGAAGCATCGGTGGTGATTGGTCAAATTGTTCCATATGAAAAAAATATCCGGCAATAGCGATCAGCTGTACCAAAGTGCTACGCTAATGGTTATTAATATATTTCAAATATATATACTCGGACCCCGTGGTACCGCGGCATTCATCGTATCATGGCATTTGTGATTTCCGGTAGTTCACGCGTCTGTCTATTAATGCAAATCTGTAACCAGGAAGTGCTCGCTTCATAAACAATTTCAGTTTCCTCTAAATGTTCCGGCTGCTGTAAATAAGGAGTTATTAACGCGTTGATACTTACTTACTTTTTTAATATTGCCTTACCCATCTATCAATGGCCAACGATATAACCCGCAGTTCCCCAAGGAAACTTTCTCTATCGACATGAACTCGATCATCTGCATATTCATGGCGACTTATAAGGTAACGGAAGTTACGTAGCCCACACATTTTCCCCCCTCTCTGTGCCCAGAATCTGTTAAAAGATCATAAGGGCCATAATGCCATACTTAGAAATACGGACTTCACTAGTAGCCAAAAGATAAATACATACTTTGGTCATACTAGGAGTGCTTTTTATATATTGATTGTTGACTTTTAACATTTTTCGATTTTATTGACAAATTATTGTCATCCAAATTTTTTTTAAACAATCTTAAAGTATCATTTCTGATATTTTGTTTTTTTCAAATATTTTTCTCTTACTTTTCGGTAAATATGCATTTAATACCTATTACTGATAACACATTTAGAATTTTACTTGTGTTGTCTTTGCACTTGTCTGGACAAATCACTTAAGCATGTTAAGTCTGGCATCATCATACTAAGTGGTTGGTAGAATTATGTCCTGTTTTTGTCCAATTCAGACCTCCATACACAACTTTTCCCTGTACCTCGATACGATGGAGTTCTCTCCCTTGTCAAACAGAGCGCAAGGCCCGGCTTTTACTCGGAGCTACTAATGTAAATAATGAACATTTATCAGTAAAATATGCATTGTTAGATAAAATAAATTACATCTGACTTAGAGAATACAAATACCATATTCGACCCATTAAGCACCCAGGGCGCTTAAAAAAAGACAGAAGGGGTGGGCGCTTATTGGGGCCAATTCAGAGTCAAATGGCGTAAATTCATCAGTAGGCCTTACCGTATTTTCTTGAGAATAGTGCGCACTTTTTTTCTCCAAAAAACACAGCTGTGTAGAAGGGGGTGCGCATTATACACGAATTAATGATTGGGGGAGGGGCGCTTAATGGGGCGAATAAGGTAATCATAAAGGTAAGTGAGTGATTTCGTTTTGTTTAGCGTACATAACAAGTACCGCGATAGCCCGAGGTTGCAGTTTATTATTATTTTTAAATTTATTCCGAAAAAAAATAATAGTTTCATATTCAATTTTTTCGATAATTTGATGAAAATTCTTTAAAGTTATATTATTGAGTAATTATTAACCAAATCACGGTAGATTCCGAGAAACGTGTGTACAGCTACTTCCAGCTTACTTTACGAGAAAATAATTTATCTCAACTTTTAAATTGGTATTGACCAAGTTTAATTGTTATGATCTGTTAGTTTCCCTGATAGCTGAAGGGAAATGATGTAATTTGTTCTGCGGAAGACAAACACGTTTTTACTTCAAATATAGTGATTGTGTATGCGCTGGTGACGTGCTTCATTCTGATTCACTTTATAGACGGGTATACAAATTAACAACGATTTTAAAGGCTTGTACAGGGGGGTCCTCTTATACGTGGGGTCGCTTTATAGACAGCGATATACGGTAGTTCACCTGAAAATTCTTTGCTTTCAATATGCTAATAACCTGACATCTCCTCTGAATCCACAAGGCCTAGGAAGGCGAAACGTTTGCACTGATGATCCCAACAGTAGCGTCAAAGAAAAACTCAAGAACTCCAATATGATTCTTTACATGGCCACAACACGTTATTGTAATTGGTTCAGAGATTTTTGTAGTTGTATCTTTCCCTCATTGAGTTTTTTGTTAACACAATCTTGACTGCCTCCCTGGTCTAGTGGATGAATTGTCTCCCCAGAGAGTGGAAAGTTGGTGCTTCGATCCCCATCCATATCATAACAAAAGATGTTAAAAGTTGGTACTTGTTGTTACCCTGCCTGATGCATGTCAAATAAGGGGCTAAAACAAGGACTGGTCAGCTCGGAGTCAGAATACTGTGTCTGAGTAGGGTATTCATGTTAAACTGCAGCATGGTATTTCAGTGAACTAGCACTATAAAACCTGCTTCAGTATCTCAAACTATGTCTTATACTATTTTATACTGTCCTTCCTCAGCAAAACAACAGATGTCTTAAATATTTGTCAAGCTACAGATATCCAATATCCTCCTATATATATGTATATGTTGGCAGGCTTTGATAGGCATAGCCTTCTCCCTGGGCTTCATCATTGGACCTGCAGTGGGAGGAGGGTTCTCTGCTCTCACGCGGCACGAGGAGAAGGGAATATTCTACCTGTTTCCAGCCTTGTTTGCCTTCATCCTGACGGTGTCCGATATCCTCTTCATATACCTCTTCCTGGAGGAGACTCTACCAAGCTCTAAAAGGGTATGTATCATATATCGTGAATAGTGTATCATGGTATGTATCATATATCGTGAAGAGTGTATCATGGTATGTATCATATATCGTGAAGAGTGTATCATGGTATGTATCATATATCGTGAAGAGCGTATCGTGGTATGTAGACCGCCTCCGTGGTCTTGTGGTAGAGGGTCCGCCCAGAGAGCGGAAGGTCCATGGTTCGATCCCCGGCCGTGTCATACCAAAAGACATTAAAAGATGGTACTTGTGTGTATTGTGGTATGTATCATAGATCGCGAAGAGTGTATCATGGTATGTATCATAAATCGTGAAGAGTGTATTGTGGTATGTATCATATTATGAAGAATGCATTGTGGTATGTATCATATATCGTGAAGAGTATAATGTGGTATGTATCATATATCGTGAAGAATACATTGTGGTGTGTATCATATATCATGAAGAGTGTATTGTAGGATACATCATATATTGTGAAGAGCGTATTGTGGTGTGTATCATATATCGTGAAGAATACATTGTATGTATCATATATCATGAAGAGTGTATCATGGTATGTATTGTATATCTTGAAAAGTGTATCATGGTATGTACAGTCATATATCGTGAACAGTGTATCATGGTATGTGTTGTATATCGTGAAGAGTGTATCATGGTATGTATCATATATCGTGAAGAGTGTATTGTGGTATGTATCATATATCATGAAGAATGCATTGTGGTATGTATCATATATCGTGAAGAGTGTATTGTGGTGTGTATCATATATCATGAAGAATATATTGTGGTTTGTATCATATATCGTGAAGAATACATTGTGGTGTGTATCATGTATCATGAAGAGTGTATTGTAGGATGCATCATATATCGTGAAGAGCGTATTGTGGTGTGTATCATATATCGTGAAGAATACATTGTGGTATGTATCATATATCATGAAGAGTGTATTGTGGTATGTATCATATATTGTGAAGAGTGTATCTTGGTATGTATCATATTTTGTGAAGAGTGTATCATGGTATGTATCGTATCTTGTGATTAGTGTATCATTGTATGAATCATGGAGAGTGTATCATGGTATGTATCATATATCGGGAAGAGCGTATTGTGGTATGTATCATATATCGTGAACAGTGTATCATGGTATGTATCATGAAGAGTGTGTCATGGTATGTATGGTATATCGTGAAGAGTGTATTGTGGTATGTATCATATATCGTGAACAGTGTATCATTGTATGTATCATGAAGAGTGTGTCATGTTATGTATTGTATATCGTGAAGAGTGTATCATGATATGTATCATATATCGTGAACAGTGTATCATTGTATCTATCATGAAGAGTGTGTTATGGTATGTATTGTATATCTTGAAGAGTGTATCATGGTATGTATCATATATTGGGAACAGTGTATCATTGTATGTATCATGAAGAGTGTGTCATGGTATGTTATGTATATCGTGAAGAGAGTATCATGGTATGTATCATATATCGTGAACAGTGTATCATGGTATGTATCATGAAGAGTGTATCATGGTATGTATCATATATCGTGAACAGTGTATCATTGTATGTATCATGAAGAGTGTGTCATGTTATGTATTGTATATCGTGAATAGTGTATCATTGTATGTATCATATATCGTGAACAGTGTATCTTTGTATGTATCATGAAGAGTGTGTCATGGTATGTATTGTATATCGTGAATAGTGTATCATTGTATGTATCATATATCGTGAACAGTGTATCTTTGTATGTATCATGAAGAGTGTGTCATGGTATGTATTGTATATCGTGAATAGTGTATCATTGTATGTATCATGAAGAGTGTATCATGGTATGTATCATATATCGTGAACAGTGTATCATTGTATGTATCATGAAGAGTGTGTCATGGCATGTATCATATTTTGTACAGAGTGTATCATTGTATGTATTGTATATTGTGAAGAATGTATTGTGGTATGTATCATATAGTGAAGAGTTTCATGGAATGTATTGTGAAGTGCATCTTCCCGAGGCAAGAGAGTTAACTGACTATAAAGTCCTTTTTCCACCCTTGCCGAACTAGGCTGGTATTATGGAGTTACGTTTTGTCTGGACTAACTAGTCTATGCATAGTCCAATCAAAATCGCGCACCGAAATCAAAATCTGGTTCGTAAACTGTCGTGCAGATTTCGATCGATTGCAGGGTTTGCAAAGCATGTGCATCGCCAATTCGTTGTCAGGAGATATTTTCCAAATCCTTTCATGTTTTTAATCAAGGTGCTCATGTGATTTGATGCATTTTCGCGATGTAAGACCCGTTTTATCACAATATAGATCTTGATTATTGATCAGATCGTCCTGACTGGGCGTCACCATTTTGTGTGAAGCAAACGCAAGTGATACGAGAGGTGGAATCTGATTTGTCCATAGGAGAGTCTTAGAAGGGATATAATTGGTAATAGCCACTGGTGACGCAACGATCACGCCCAGTAATTCTAGCCTAGTTCGGCAAGGGTGGAAACTGGACTTTTAAAGTCAGTTAACTCCCTTGCCTCTGGAAGATGCGTGAAGTGTATATCATCGTATATATCACATATCATGAAGTGTATATCATAGTATGTATCTATTCTTAATGTTTGTCATGTGAAGTGGAAGAAAACATCATCTATTGACCCATCTTGGCAATTTTCCCACTTTGGTTGCCAGGTGCAGGATACGTCTTATATATGGGAGAATGCTGGCAAATTCATCAACACAAAGTCCATCTTTCAATTTGAACCTGTGCAAATGGGATCAGAAAGTAAGTTGTGTCGCAAGATTTGTTGAGCCTCACGGTAGGCAAGTGGTATTAAGATTGGCTCATCATCTGGGTTTGATTCCTGACAAGGGTGTGACGTCTAGTCGTCATCTACGTCTGTGGTAGCAGCTCCAGTATATATATACTCCTACTTTGAACTGCACTTTGTGTTAGGAACATTTATAGATTGTATATTTAGAAGATAGATTTATCGTTAGGACAGACCAAACATTGCAACTTGTAATAGTGTGACCTGGTATGGAGTCATCCCACTGATGCCATCTTTACATTGTCAGCTTGCTGTGGGATCACTTCACATCCTGCTACAAATGGAAGTGTTTCCTAGACCAGTTGTATTAGTATTTGCGTTTCCCGTGGAGAGTCCGGTTCAGAATAGGACCAAATCAACCAATGCTTGTTGTAAGAGGTGACTTGTTGGATCAGACAGACTTTGTGGTTGGATTGTCATCACGCCTGACAATTACTTGATTGTCTAATCCACACTTGATTCTTTACAGTCATTTAGGTAGACTATTGTTGAGTGCTGTGTTTAGCAACCCAAATAAATAAAAAATTGGTACCTTATTTTCTTGAGTATAGTGCACACTTTTTTGCCCCAAAACACAGCTGTGTAGAAGGGGGTGCGCATTATACACACTATAATGAGTTTCGAGAGACATTACCGTGAGCATGTAACACCGGAAATACCATGTCAACAAATCTGTACTGAAGTATGCAAATTAATCATGTAATTACACTGGTTATAAAAAGTGTTCATTGTACCGTATTTTCTTGAGTATAATGCGCACCCCCCTCTAGCGGATTCAGTATTTTGGAAAAAACAAACAGAATATTATGCGCAGAAAATTATTACACCGTACCCCTTCAGCGAATTCCAGTAAACAAACAGGTGATGAGAAACTTGCTCAGTACAAATTTGAAATTAGCGATAAAAAAATCACCAGACATGTTGATTTACCGTTTAAATTGTATTTTTTGTTCTGGTTGGCATTGTTTTTATATCTAGGGATTAAGATTACCTTAAGATTAAGATTACCACCCCCCACCCCCCAAGTAATATTGAGTTTTTGTTCTCCACAGGTAAGAAGTCTATACAACGCATCGGTCTTGTCTATTTCCTGTACATGTTCATCTACTCTGGCCTCGAGTTCACCTTGCCCTTCCTCATGACCTTCCGGTTTGGATACAACAAGTAGGTCAAATTGTTTGGGTCAACAAGTGGGTCAAATTGTTTGGATACAACAAGTGGGTCAAATTGTTTGGATACAACAAGTGGGTCAAATTGTTTGGATACAACAAGTAGTTCAAATTGTTAAGATACAACAAGTAGGTCAAGTTGTGCAAGTCCAGGTGCTGTAATTAAGCAGTGTGTTACTTGAAGACATTTTGACATAAATTGCAGTGTGTTCTGCAATGTGATTGGTTGAAAAGCACTGATAATGGGATCAGATCCTTAAAGTCATCCCATTCGCATAAATGTTTTTCAATGACTATCACAACTACTTTTTTCTTTCTCTCAGTCGAGGACAAGCGAAGATGTTTCTCATGATCGGTGTGATCATGTTCCTTGTACAAGGTGGGTCTTGTATGTTCTCATGTACCACTCTGCTTTGATATGGATACTGCAAATTTCCTCTTTGAAATAATAAGCATAATAATAATAATAATGATAATAGGCTATGTATTTTGTGCATATTTCCACACCACTCATGCTCAAAGCGCTATCATTACACCAGTCACTGAATCATTGTGCACTCAAGAATCATTCTCAGCTCCCTGGGGAGTATACAACCCAAGCTGCCAGTTAGGCACTGGAAGGTGTCAATTCACTGCTGGGTGAACAGAGGCACATTTCGAACAAAGTCACTTGCCCAAGGAGACACCACATGTGTTACATGTGCTTCAGTGTGGGGCAGGACTGAAGCCCTAGAAACTCTTAGAAGCCAAGCTGTCGAAACGCGGTCACCCATCCGCGACAGACGTTGCTTAACTTCACCTCATTTGTGACCGGTGCGCTGTGCACAGGACCACATCCACCAGGTGAAGGGAGAAGTTAACACAGAAATCGGTTCACACAGCGACATAGTGAAATCAGCAAGGCAGTAGTACTTAAATCCAGAACAGTGTCGGAAGCTGGCAGGAAAACAGTATTTTCAAATAGGCATCCCTGCTACTATTGCATGTAGGTTCGAGACCAGTCAGGTTGAGAAGGCTGGAAGTTGCCCTCTGTCGCTCTTATAAAGCACAGTCGGCCTTCTTGAAACTGTCGGGGGCGCCGTGATTCGCTATGCAGAATTGCATCCATTGGGCACGCCAGAAACCGAAGTGGTAAACGTCTGAGACCTGCATCATTTCGGGCTTTCCTCCCACATTAAGCTTGCACGCTGTGATATAACTGGAATAATGTTAAAAGCGGCGTTAAACAAAACTCACTCACTCACTCTGGAAACTGTCCCATCCAGAAACATTGAGAACAATCAATGTTGCTCATGTATAGGGGCAGATAACTCTAAATTCAGTGCAAAGCGCTAACTCCTCTCCACAGTTGTGTTGTGGATATACCTCTATGACATCATGTAATGTCCACAGCAAAACATTTCACTATGCCTTCTACGTGAGGCTCCGAACTTATCAATCAACCCTAGTTTGAAGGTTTACCAATAAGGATTATCATTAGAACAAGCAGTATACTGTAACAAACACTTTGCAGGCTGTTACACGCGGAAAGTGAAGGCCGGAAGAGAGAGGTCTGTGGCCAAACGGGGAATGATGCTTCTGATGCCCGCGTTCTTCATCCTGGGTATATCCCGGTGGGAGATGTACAACATGATTGTGTTCCCTCTATTTGCGTTTGGTAAGTCTCCATATTTGTCACTGGTTTGTTGGTGGATAAAACAATTTAAACCAAAAGAATTGTGGTCAAAAATAAATTAAACTTGCATTATAGCAAACTAACACAGGTTATGATAGAAATATGGTGTGTGGATTGTTTATTTGAACTTCATGCCAAAAGTTTACTTTCTTTACCATAATGAGTTACTTCCCTTACACATTTCACCTACTTAAAGTTTTTTAGCTTACCTGACTCAAAGGGGGATTAATCAAAAGTATTCTGGTTGTCGTCAGTGAAAAAATAATCTAGAAACAATGGAGTTTGATATTTTACAAGCGCTTCATTCATTTGTAAATTACAAAATCTACTGCCACATAATATTCATGAGTAAAATTATGGGTTGACGTATTATGAGTCAGTTAAATGTATCCCACATATGAGCTTATGAAGATAATGATTAAGATGATGGTGATGACAGTACAACAATCTATATTATTCTATTCACAGCCTCAGCAACAGTTGTGCCGTGCATGACGACCATGGTATCAGTGTGCGGTGGGGATGACCAGAAGGGCATCATCATGGGCATCTTCCGCTCCCTCGGGGCACTGGCACGAGCCACAGGGCCCCTCTTCTTCTCCGCAAGTAAGTCTTAGGCAGTAGACAGCTTCAGTTTCGTCGGGGCACTGGCAAGGGCCACGGGGCCCCTCCTCTTCTCCGCAAGTAAGTCTTAGGCAGTAGACAGCTTCAGTTCCGTCGGGGCACTGGCAAGGGCCACGGGGCCCCTCCTCTTCTCCGCAAGTAAGTCTTAGGCAGTAGACAGCTTCAGTTCCTTCGGGGCACTGGCAAGGGCCACGAGGCCCCTCCTCTTCTCCGCAAGTAAGTCTTAGGCAGTAGACAGCTTCAGTTCCGTCGGGGCACTGGCAAGGGCCACGGGGGCCCTCCTCTTCTCCGCAATTAGGTCTTAGGCAGTAGACAGCTTCAGTTTCGTCAGGGCATAGGACTGGGACATGGGTCCCTTGTCTTCTCCAGAGGTAAGTCCTCAGCAGTAGAAAGCTTCAGTTCCCTCAGGACACATGCCAGGGGACCTGTCTTCTTCTCCGCAAGTAAGTCATAGGAGGTAAACAGCTTCAGTTCCCTTGGGAATCACAGGGGGCCCAGTGGTCAAAGGCACAGCAATTCACTGTGAAATGATCGTGAGTTCAAATCCCGGTTCGCCCGATTATATCTCGGTTTGTCAGCACCTTACCTGTGCTTGTGGGTTTCACCAATGCGGTAAGCGTCAAAGACCTGCATCACTTTGCGCTTTCCTCCCACATTAAGCTGACAGGCTGTGATGTAACTGGAATGCTATTCAAAGTGGCTACTCACTAACAATTTATTGCCAGTTGTGGCTGCACTGTCACTTGTGACTTGGTAATTGTTCCTGGTCTGGAAGTGTTTTTTGGACTGAATGTACATTGTGGTATATTTTTTAAAAGACTTTTGAAGCTTTGAGGAAATGGTGATTGAAGGGGCTGCTTCTGTTTTTGAAAGTCCTTGCAAATATAATACCTCATGTTATTTTCTTAAAAAAACATCTTATGAATTATTTTAATGGCATGTGTTTTAATTTTCAGTTTTCTGGCTCATGGGAGATCACTGGTGTTACAATATTGGAGCTGTGTCACTAATCATTCCACTCCTGCTGCTGAGATCGAAGGAGAGGAAAGAGGACTGAGCAGCCATGTTGAAATTGTCGGCCATCTTGGAATGTCTGACACACATATCGGTCTTATGTCAAACGACGTCCAAAATAAGATTCTGGTGCTTCAGAAGATATTTTGTCCTTTTTTCAGAAAATATGAATTGTAAATAATGAATTTGGAGTAGAAAGTAAGACTAAATCAAAGTGTTCAGCTATTCGAACATAAACTCGAGATAAAAAATCAAAAGAAAATATTACTGAAAAAAGTGATATAAACATTAAGGTAGTTTATTAACAAACATCATAAATCTGATACTATCTATTGCATCAGGGTTTTTTTGCCTCATAAAGAAGTCATGATTAATGAATAGATATTAGTTATCTATATATCTTTTGTAAATATTTTTGAATTTTCTATTTTTACAGTATGACTGAGAATAAATTATTTTTTGGTAATATGTATAGATGGAAGTTAGAAATGTATACATACAATATTTGAAAGTGGACAAAAATGTCAGTCAGTGAGAGTATAAGTGTTTCGCATTATCCATGTCAACCGACATCCATTTGCACAAAAATCATCACTTGGAAAATTGCTCTCAATCATTTGTAATGAATTCAATTTTTCATATTTCTCATTAAAGTTTCAAAGTATTTACAGTATTTTCTGAAGATTACAAAATGCAAGTGTTAAATATATCAAATATATGTCCAACTGTTTGGATAAGTCACATTTCCAGCTCTACAATGCTCAGTAATATCATCATTAATATTTCTTATACAAATGATAAACAAATTTGTTGAATATATGAATATGTATCCCCATAATTTTCTTATGATATCTTTGATATTCTAATTCATACAATAACAAAATAACTCTGTTTTTAATCTCTCTTGTTCATATCTATTTAAAACCTAAATATGATGAGACAGAAATTACTGTACCTTTCAATATAAGGCCAAACTTGAAACAGTATCAGATTTAGAATTGACAAACAGATCGATTGCTTGGATTTCTGAAATGAGACGTACTGTTACAGAATTAAGCTGATCATGAATTGTATCATTTAGTTCTTGTATCATTGGTGAATTGTGTCAGTTGTTGAAGAGGTGTTGAGTGAAAAAAGTGGCCTTTCCCCTGGGCATTGCTGTGTTAAGCTGGAGTTTGAATGATAAAATCATTATTAGATATTGCAAAGTTTTCCATTATATTCATCGGCCTAGAAGCATTAAATGCATAATGACTCCTTGTCAGGTCTGATACTTTACAGTATTGACTGGAAAAATAGAATGGGGATTACCTGATGGTATACTCCCTAAATTTAAATCAATCTTATGTCACTTTTTGTTGGAAACCCCCAATGTCATTGTAGCTAACATGGCTTGACATGTTGAATCTGCTTTTGGCTCTTTATTATGTAATTGGGGCGGTTGGGTAGCCCAGTAGTTAAAGCGTTTGCTTCTCACCCCGAAGACCTGGGTTCAATTCCCCACATGGGTTCAATGTGTGAAGCCCATTTCTGGGGCTCCCCACCCTGATATTGCTGGAATATTGCTAACAGCGGCATAAGCCCATACTCACTTATTAAGTAACAAAACAATTATCAACTTTAGGCAGATTCAAGACCTTTTTTTAATGGATCCGGATAAATAGCATGTCAACCTTGGACTTACCTGTTATTAATATTGTTTTTATTGTCCATAAAAGCAGGTATTGACCTCATATATAGTCTGTAATTGTATGGTTTTACTTAGTAGGATAAACATGACACGTTTCTATGTGACATCATCCTCACTAGTCCAGGGTATTATATTGCGATTTTCATAAATACCCATAACCCATTTAGCTTCTTTTGGAGTATGATTCAGGTAACATGATGCTAAAAATTGCCTTCAGTCAAATTACACCCATCAGAGAGATACCTGTGAAGATCCGGGTTAGATTAGGTCTTCAGCAACCCATGCTTGCCATAAAAGGTGACAGGCTTGCTGATTTGGTTGATGCATGTCATCATATCACATTGGTGTAGATCGGTGCTCATGATGTCAATCACTGGTTAGGTCCTCTGTATTTATCATAATAAAAAGGAGATATAATACCCTTGGTAAACAAGGATGGTGTGATGTGGGCCAGACTGTTTTGTATATATTTTGTATGAATCTTCAAAGCCCGTATACTGTATGCTGCCATCTTTACAACGAACAAACATGCACGAGGGCCTACTGCAGAAGTCTTTGGTATTCAGTCAAATACCTTATGCATGAAACAGTGTTCATTGTAGCATAGCTGGCACCAAGGGGGTCAATTGGGAGAAATACATCTTCACCAACGATGTGGTTCATTTCAATATCAATCATACTTATGTGCTTCATGCCTTGAAATTCATTTTTAAGAATGATCAAGACAGTACATATTGGTAGCCTAGCAACAGTGGTAATCAAATAACATTCGTTAATAAACTAGATGTAGAAAAGATTACAAAAGAAACCAAAATAAAAAATGGGCTTTGACTGCTCTGCAAAAGAATTTGAATTAAAAGTTGGAATGAAACTAATATCAGTTAGTGTTTCTAAACTAATCCTGCTTTCAATTCAACACATCGTTAATACTTTAAAGATTCCATACTCTACGTTTCCCCACTAGCAGAGAATAGGGAAGCTTGTGGTGTAGTCACTGTTTCGAACCATGTTCCTGCTACAGGGAAACCACCAATAAGCCCTCCCGTTACTCCAAGCACAGAGCACAGGATTCTTTTGACTTCCGTGAAATATACACGGCCTCACTTCATTAGTATGAAAATCACTACCATACCACAGCCGTTTGTGTTCCATCTTCCCGAGGCAAGAGAGGTAACTGACTTTAAAAGTCCAGTTTCCACCCTTGCTGAACTAGGCTGGAATTCCTGGGCTCGATCATAGTGCCACCAGTGGCTATTACCAGTTATGTCCCTGCTAAGCCTCTCCTATGGACCAATCAGATTCCACCTCTCGTATCACTTGCGTTTGCTTCACACAAAATGGTGGCGCCCGGTCAGGACGATCTGATCAATAATCAAGATCTATATTGTGATAAAACGGGTCTTCCATCGCGAAATAATACCAGTCTAGTTTGGCAAGGGTGGAAACCGGACTTTTATAGTCAGTTAACTCTCTTGCCTCAGGAAGATGTATGTGTTCAGGGGTTAATTATTTCACTTAGATAGATATTCTGTTATTCTTCATCACTTGAAGGATATTCCTGAAGTCAGCAAGACCAGTACGTATTGATGATGATTAAATGAGTACAGGATAGTTTTTATTTTGTTTTTACGCCCAGAAAGAAGAAAACTTACCTGTACTTACAGGGCGAGATAGTTTGTAGAAGTAACACACATATACAGTAGTTAGTAGTTGTTTTCTAGTTGCTGATTAGGTGACTATTGAATGCAAGATGGATGAAGCAACTTGTAGTCTGTTCGTGTGGTCAGTGTCTTGAAGTGTGTATTGGTCAGGCTGTCCTGACACTGACCAGAGTGGTCTCATCTTGACCCGACAGTGGTCAGTCAACGAGGTGTCCGTGTGCTCCCGATTTGATCTCACAATCTACTTTGGACTGATGAAAACAGCATTTAGCATCACTCACTCACTCACTCACTCAACTCATGGACAGATACTTAGTCTTGTTTTACAACCATAAAATGTAAAAAAATGATATTTTGGTGGCAGGTTTTAGTGGGAAGTTGTAGATAAAGGGTGGTCTTCCTTGACCGATTAAACATATCACTTCATGTTTGGTACCACTATTACTATTATGTTTATACATTATTATACTAATATTATACTAATATTATACTAATATTATACCTGTGGTAACACACAACTGCTGCCATTGTCTTTTATACACTATTTGTAATATGTATGTGTTTTTATTGAATTTTATCTGCAGTGACTCCAAGGACATTTTGTGCATAAAACTGATAGTGTTTTCTTTAGAATGAATGCTATCTGATCAACCATTATGAATTGCTAGACTTTGGGTATTGTCTATCTCAATAGCATACCTTCGAGAACTGTGGATATCTTAAAATAATTACAAAGATATTCTTAAATTATTTTTTTATATTTTGATTAAAACATATCACATAGAGAAAACTAGGTGACAGTTGTTTGTTTGTGACAGAATACTTCAGTTAACCTGGTCATTTTCCAAATCAGTGGAACACCGTGATATAACTAGAATATTGTTAAAAGCGGCATTAAATCCAACTCACTCACTCTCTCCAAATCAATGGTCGCCATTCTATATTAGTGTCCTCAAGCGCGGGACAATTTCCAAACTGATATTCTGTTATGTTTCATGGTTTAAATGAAATACTGGCTATATATGTTGCTGGCTACAAGATAGTGTACAGTCATTTATGAAAATAGATTGTTGCACATTTTTGTACATGAATATCAAACATGCAAAAGGTAATACTTGCAATTGCACGTTGAAAAAAACTAAACTAAACAGCGGGGCACGGGTGGCCCAGTCAAAGGCGCTACGATTCGCTGTGCAGAGTCGCGTCCCTTGGGCACTCCAGAAACCTATGGTTGTGGATTCGAATCCAGGTTCGCCCCAATTATGTTTCTAGGTTTGTCAGCACCATACCCGTGCTCGTGGGTTTCACCGAGGTTCTAAACGTCTGAGACCTGCATCACTTTGGGCTTTCTCCCACATTAGGCTGACACGGTGTGATATAACAGGAATACTGTTAAAAGTATCATGAAACCAAACTCACTCGCTCACTGAACTAAACAGCATTATCTCCCCTTAGTTCTGAATTACCTCCCCTTGACTGTATGTGACCTTCCCTTGACTGTAATTGACCTTTTGTTGACCTAGTCAGATTGTAATCCACAATGAGACTGAAAGCAAGTGAAGATTCTGTGTGCTTATTTTCCTAGATATAATTTATTATAATTTACATTGAATATGATATGGCTGTGCAAAACAACATGACAAAATAGTGACAATTATGTATATATTGTATTGTTTACAGAACTTTTTAGAACTTGATATACCAACAACACTATCCAAATAACACTCCATACAAAACCACATTGCTAGCAAAACAACAAAGCTATAAAAAATATCACATAAAATGAATTGATTAATCAATACATCCAAAGATACCTATCATTCTACATGCTTTGGGTAGCAGTTTCTAACTAAGATAGCTTAAAAACTCTTTGTGTACTTTATCATTCTGATTGCAGGGTAGTCTATAATTTCTTCTTTAAAAGGGATTAATGGTCATGTTACTGTAAACTCATTTTTTGGAGAATTGGCAGACTTTGATTTCATCATATTAATCCAGATTGCTTATTGTGGTTATTGAATAATAATTGACCATATCATATAGTGCTTTTTGCTTATTTAGGTGTTGTTTAACTAATTATCCAGGAGTAAACAATAGGCCATTATAAGTTGATAACACGTTTGTCAGATTTGTTGGTCAAAACGTGGATCTTGGGTGAAGTTGTTTTGAAGGAAATGTATCATTATTAGTCATAATGTTCTTTTTCTGGTAAACAGGAA